TTCTTAATCGTTGAGAACAAATTTAATAAGGAAATGGCATTTATGGCTTCAAATTGCAAACTTTTTCCGGAGGAGAATGCCCTATAATAATGCAACACCCCCCCCCCCCTCATCTTTGGAAAACATCCACCCCTTCTCTAACAAGTGAAGCTTGATCCACCCGAGATTCATTTCAATATTTGCAAATATGTTCTGCTTGTCCATATATGTCTCATGTGTGTAGGATGTACTTTTAAAAGCATTGTTTTTTTCTTAATACATTAATTCATACATTTGCTGTTTTGTGTTCTTTGCTAGATAGATGTGCACAGATCGTTACAATCATATCCTGGTACTTATGAAATTTTCTCCAATCTTACATCATGTATATGTCTCTGGCAGACACAAACCTTATAGTACAAGAAAATAGTGGATGACCCTGAATGCCTTTATATTTGACATTTACAGAGGAAAGATTCCCCTAATGTGGAACGGACAGTGATTGAAGGTTAAATAAATAAATAATATATTCACATTTTTAGACAGTGTAGAAATTGTGTATAAGGCATGCATGTGTCAGTGTAGGTAGTGATTAACAACATATATACTGTAGTTGCATAGAGTTACTTTTGCTTTGTACTTATAAGTGGCAAAACCCCCCAAAGAAACTTCACTTGTCTTGACCTGCCATTCAACCAATATGGCCAAACGTCTGGCAAATTTTGCATAGCGTAGTACAGAATATATGAATAATATAAATTATAGCCTATAGGCCGCATTGTGATTAACGATTCCATATTTTCCATTCATATTTGTAAATATTTTAAAGTACATGTAATAAAGTGTATGCACAATTTCAGTATTAAAATATTCATTTCTTTTATCCAAAATTCTGTAACACATTTAAAAGTGTGTTTCTGTTTAGAAACACTTGTATGTGTGTTGTTTAGCACACATAAAGGTGTGTTTTAGCAATCCACTATTGTGTGCTAAATAACACACCTTTTTAGATAACACACTTAACAATAACACACTGTTGTGTGTTTTTAAACCCACTGTTGTGTGCTAAATAACACACTTTTTTCAATAACACACGTAAAGCGTGTTAATTTTTGGACAAGCCAAAAACACACCCTAGGGTGTGTTATCTAACACACTAGTGTGTTATATAACCCGTGTTAATTTCTGGACAAAATAAGTAGGTTATATAACACAGTTATTTTTAAGAGTGCAGATTCAGTATATTATGATCGTGCACGGGAATTCAACGATCCAAATTTCGGATTTTCAGAGTTGTGCACCAAGAAAAATGCATTAACTAAACTAGCAAGAATGTCCAGAGTTAGACACAATGCAAAATCCACAGAAAACAGATGCAATTCGTTGAAAATTTTAACGAAATTGTTTGAAACATTTTGCCCACTACTCCACGAAAGGCCGCCATTTTGAAAAGGATAAATTGGGTTCTATTAGGCAACTTATTAGTATTCTATTTTGTGGCTATCGACGATTGGAGATCCACCACAAATGCGTGCCGAAACGTACTATACTCACGCCCGGGCACAAGTGCCCCAGGGAGTAAATACACTTTATATAGCTCACGTCAAAACCGAAACCGAAAGAGATTACTATTATAATCAATGTTTAATATAAAGTTAAAATACCATAAAATAAACGGACATTTCTCGTGTAGCTATACAAAGGTTGTATGCTCATGCATGCATGCAGGCTAGCCGCATTTGTTGTGCGATTTGTTGAAATCAGTGATACTGATAAAATCCGCAAAGTGTTATACTTATAGCACTCTTGAGTTTTTCTTTTTGATTTTCATAGAGTTGAGCATTTAGGAAAGTGACAAAACTCGACTTTAGCGGTTTTAAAATACCATGCATATATGATTTGCTGTGTTGGTGTTGTGTACTCAGGTGAATATGATGTTTGTGATGTTACTCTGAGTGTGTATCCGCACCGGGCAAGCTTGAAAAATATGCCTGGCCACGGTGGGAATCGAACCTACGACCTTGGGAATACTAGCCCCAATGGCAATGCTCATATATATTAGTTATATTATAGTTCACCATAATTTAGTTGTTTTGACTATTTCCGAGTTCTTTAAAAATTCGAGCTCCGGACGCTGCATGGTATTTACCTATTTTATGACAGACGAACTATATAAAATACTATGATTTATTAATAATATTAATCAGTGCTATAGATAGTATATATAGATCCGGTTACGCTATACATATGATATATTATGAATAAATTATAAATAACACCATGCATCACATGCCCATATGCCATGAGCATGGCCACAGAATAAGCCCCATGGCCATGCAACATTGATGATGCAGTAACTTAAGACAAAGACTAACTCGTTTTATTTTTTGGCCGTAAAAATTCGTCTATGCAATTAACAGATTGGATCAGCTAGATCAAACAGGCCGTCCTAATTTATTCTGCCTTAGTCTTATATGCTCTACATCACTGGCTTGGAATGGCAATGGAACTGATGCAGCATGCAAGTTTTATTTTTTAAAACAGAAATCAGGCTCTGCTCTCAGACTCAGGGTACATGCACCTTCAAGATTTATACTTTATTACTGATCTTTAATTGACTCTTGGTCTAACACATTAGAGCAGTATACATCGATGCTGAGCTTTATAGGATATAGGATATATTTTCACAAGTATACAGTATCTGCCGGTACTACACTGCTCACTATACAGCCAATAGTGTATAAAACCGTGTACATGCATACATCAAAATATACGAAGTATCAAACTTTCAGTTTCAGATACATATCACATGGCCGTAGCCATCATGCATGGCAACCATGCATGCAACATTCATAGGACAGATCTGGCAGAAGAAAAACAGTGTGGAAAAATCAAAGTAAAAGTTCTGAAACAGTCTCTTTGCTGCATTCTGAAACTATACCCTTATCCCCAGATTTAATGTACAATCATTCAAAATTGTCACGAAAGCGTTGCCACAAAGAGTCTTTCGGAGAGATGCCTTCGTCTTCGATTGTTTCAAAATATATAGGCAACAGGGGCGGCGGAACAGGGGGGCTAGGGGGGCTAAAGCCCCCCCAGAAGTAAAAGAAATTTTTTTTCTGGAAAATTTTGATAATTAAGGAAAAATTTAGGGTATTTTTTGAAAATTTAGGTATAACGGGAAAAATGTGCAATATTTTGTTTAAAAATTATGTATGTCCAGAAAAATTTTTTGTTATAGCTCCGGAAAAAATTTTTTCATCCCCTTTCCTGTATATGTCCGGAAAAGTTTTTGTACCCCTAAAATGGTACACTGACCAAAATTTTTTTGGCGACGGGGGGGGGAGGGGAGGTCACGTAAAAAAAATTTAGCCCCCCAAAATGAAATCTGTTCCGCCGCCCCTGATAGGCAATGTGTTTACTATATATATATATATATATATATATATATATATATATATATATATATATATATATATATATATATATATATATATATATATATATATATATATATATATATATATATATATATATATATATATATATATATATATATATATACTATATATATACTATATATATATATATATACTATATATATATACTATATATATATACTATATATATATATATACTATATACTATATATATATATATATATATATATATATATATATATATATATATATATATATATATATACATATATATATATATATATATATATATATATACCGGGTGTCCCGAAAAAAAGTACTCCAGTTTGATTCGTAATAACTTCTAAACAAGTAAAGCTTTTAAAGAGAAATAACTTGCATCAAATAGAGAAAGGACTAACTTAGATTTTGATATATTAGAGTTGTATTTCACATAAAAATTCACGGAGATATAAATGTTTAAAATTGGGAGCATATTTCTGGATGTGTCTGAAATATGCAAAAAACGGCGTATCAAATATTAATCAACATTTGCCCGACTGAAACATGCACTATGACCAGGAAATAAATGACATTTGACAAATTGTTTATTATGAAACAAAGTATTATTATCTACAAAATACAAGCAAGATTTATTTGTCCGAAATCCGTGTGCATGTGTTCCTAGCACAAATACGTTTCCTTATTTCATGAGACCACTGCATCGCGAAGGATCGTCATGAATATCCGCGTTCGTAGTTCTGAATTAGGGCATGCTGTCACAATAGAATTGTGAAGCTCTTCTAACTTCTTCAAAGTTAAGAAAACACAAACTCTTTTGCCTTTTCTTAATCTTGTTTATCTTGTTAAGTTCAGAATAAACTGAGAATGAAACACAATCAAACCATACAACTCCATAAGTCATAACAAGCAACTCCCCAGAGACATCCAACATTTTTGGAACAAAACGTAACAAAATAGTAGCGTCAATACTGTGATGTGTATTTGCAAAAAGCAATATTATTTCCTTCATTAAAGAATAATATCCTTCCTGCTCTAACCGAGAAATAATCAACTCTGTTTTTAACCCATGAAAAACATAAAAAAATTAGGCTATTTAAGAAAAATTTAAGCATGCCTTAGTGGTCTTTCATGTACCTTTAAGTTTGTAAAGACCTATTAAATACTTGAATAATTTCGAACATTTATATTTCAGGAAACATGAGCTAAGACTTACATGCATATATGTTAAGATGTCTAAATCTACGCCATGTCCCTTATACAAACCCTATAACGACAATTCGTTGAAATACAAGTTAGCCTGATATGTCATTAAACAAAGAAACGCTGGGGTTATATTTGATGTGCCGATTTTCGCTAATTTTAGAGACATCCAAAAATATGCTCCCGATGTTGAACATTAATATCTCGGTGAATTTTTAAGTAAAATACAACTGTAACATATCAAAACCTAAGTTAGTCTTTCCTATATGTAATGCAAGTTGTTTCTGTTTGATAGCTTCACTTGTTTAGAAGTTATTATAAATCAAACAGGAGTACTTTTTTTTGGGACACCCGGTATGGCTATGGTGCCTGGGCATACTGACAAGTATATATATTCTTAAAATCTCGCAAATAAAACAAAACTCGCAAATATTCATATATGAATGAAAAGGGTATGTGAAGGAATGATGAAAACTGATTTAAACCACGTACTGAATGTTATAATATTAGTCCATTTTAAGTACCCTACCAAAGCTGTTGTTTTGACGGGATATTCCAACCTCTGCATGCACGTATATACAGTACTTTATTATTTCTTTTTGTTAAAATTTAGTCTATATAGCAAATATTTTGGTCCTTCAAATAAAGTAACTCGCTCAGGTGTGTAGAGAGTTTGAATGTTGTGATGGTAAGGATGGAGTGGAAATTATTTGGCAGAATGATCATTTGACAGGTGTAGGGGCAAAATTTTTATTAGCTGATTGTTAATTGCCTTGCTTTTTGCACGTGTATTGTCACACAGTTTGAAGGTTGACCTTTGTAACTGGACTTTGGAAATAAACAAGACTTTACGCAACTTTACATTTAATCCGATCGCTTGTTCATAATCAGCCCAGAACGATATGTGAGAGATATCCTTGTAGGACTGATGAAATTGAAAATTCTCAACCTTTTAGATTTCAGCAACAACACCCTATAGTATATACATAATATAAATATTTATTTATACTAGTTCCGTTCGAGCAACACGCCATAGTTTATAACGCTGTAAGGCTGAGACAGATAAGCGACACATGTTTATAAGCACACATGCCTTTTTTTATATAACTTATCAAGTCTTGGCAAATAATTTAATTTTCTTATCGCAGAGATATTCGAAGGGTAACAAAAAAGATCACAGTTATGTCAAAATGGTTGTTGTCATTAATTGGATAATGCCAGTAAGGGAAACTCACTATTGAGATTGTTTCACTCCGCTTGTAATTATACGAGAATCGAGCTTACATATACACTAAAAATTGCTTATATGCTACAAAAAAATAGGATATTTTGCATCGGATTAGTTAATTAGAAAAATTTCAACGAATTTCTTAAATCAATCCTGTGAATCAGGACGCAGTGGTTCAGAAAACATATAAAACATAATTATTTATATTGGTGTACTATCAGTTACAAGAAAAAACTCTACAGCAAAGGATGTTTCCACGAAAAGAGCTTTAAGGCTAATTTTCACTCCGGAAAATAAGCGGCGGATCGGACCGGATCGAAGGTTTTTCGATCCAGTCCGATCCAACAAGCGATTTCCAGCCCAAGTGGAATGATCGGATCGGAAAAGGGAAAAAATGGAGCTCGTTCCAGTCTCACATTCTCCATTTTGTAAATTTTATACATGAAGGTATTTAATTATTGAATTTATGTGAGTTAATACGGCATTTTGATTGGTCGCCAGGTTTAATCCGCGGACCGGACCAAAAAAAGTTGAAAATATTTCAACTTTTTATTATCTGGCCAGCAACGTCGCCGGATCAATCGGAACCAAAAGTTTCTACCGATGGAGCATGTGCGGATTGTGTTTTGTTCTTATCCGGTCCGATCCGCTGCTTATTTTCCGGAGTGGAAATTAGCCTTTAGAGACAAAATGAACTGTACCGCACGAAATAGTGTATTCCAACACTCCGCACTTGCAGGGCAATTCTTATTCGCCCGCGGATGCCGTATTTTGTTTGGCCTGAAACAATCATTCACCTTTGTCCTTTATCCTGGCTTAATTACTTGTTATAGCTATATGATTGATAAGGCAATAAAATATCTTGATGCAACCTCGTCTCTGGCATGTAGTTCACAGACCAACAACTCCAAATCGGCTGTTTGTTTTAATAGTTTAATATAGCATCCCAATTATAGATAAAACGGAAATATCTTTGTTGTTCTGTGATTGACATAAACAATTCAGAACGTTACTCTGAGTGTGCATCCATACCGGGCGAACTTGAAAAATATGCCCGGCCACGGTGGGATTCGAACCTACGACCTTTGGAATACTAGCCCAATGCTCTTCCAGCTGAGCTACGCGGTCAGGACGGTTCGATTAAGTGATATTTCGGAACAGAATCTAGTTCCTTCAATACCAATGTTTTCTAGTAATATGATTTTTTTTTGTGTTGGTGTAGTGTACTCAGGTGAATATGCAGGCCCGGAGCTACGGGGGGGTGTGGGGGGGTGTGACACCCCCCCCAGTAATTGTATTCAGTCGGCAGGACTGCTATTCAGTCGGTAGGACTGCTATTCAGTCGGTAGAACTGCTATTTGGGTTAATTATTTTTGGCGCAAAGGGCAAGAACGTGGTTGGAATTTTAGGAAAATTTTGAGGAAAAATGTAAAAATTTTTGAAAAATGTAAAAAAATGTTGAAAATTTGTTATGTGCGGAAAATTTTTGAATGTTCCGGAAAATTTTTGTACGTACGGAAAAATTTTTGGACCCCTAAAATGGTACACTGACCGAAATTTTTTTGGCGACGGGGGGGGGGAGGTCGACAAAAAATTTTTATCCGGAAAATTTTTTTTTGAACCAGTCGGTTGAATTGACCTTATTACACCCCCCTGAAGAATTTCCTGAGGACGGCCCTGTGAATATGATATTTGTGGTGTTACTCTGAGTGTGTATCCACACCGGGCGAACTTGAAAAATATGCCCGGCCACGGTGGGATTCGAACCTACGACCTTTGGAATACTAGCCCAATACTCTTCCAACTGAGCTACGCGGTCAGGACGGTTCGAGTAAGTTCAAATATCATATTCACCTGAGTACACTACACCAACACAGAAAAAATTCATATTACTAGAAAACATTGGTATTGAAGGAACTAGATTCTGTTCCGAAATATCACTTACTCGAACCGTCCTGACCGCGTAGCTCAGTTGGAAGGGCATTGGGCTAGTATTCCAAAGGTCGTAGGTTCGAATCCCACCGTGGCCGGGCATATTTTTCAAGTTCGCCCGGTGTGGATACACACTCAGAGTAACACCACAAATATCATATTCACCTGAGTACACTACACCAACACAGAAAAAATTCAGAACGATTTCTGAAATACCTTTGTTGGACTGATGAAAATTCTCAAACGAGTTTAGGCTTCAGCAGCAACACGCTACTACTAGTTCCGTTTCAGCAACACGCCACAACGTAACAGCCAATTTGGACTTTTCTTATATGATAAATATATTTGCGGAAGTAACAAGAAAGATCACAGTTATGGCTGAACGGTTGTAATCATTAACAGGATAATGCCATTAATTTTCAAAATCTCGAATATCTAGAAAGTGCAGGAAACCCACTAATCAGGCTGCTTCACTCTGTTTGTAATTATGGATGTCGCGCTTATTAGTATAGGTATAATCATCATGGTCAACATCATATTCTCTCGCCCAGTCGTGCCACGGACTTTCAACCAAAATTTGGTGCTTTTGTTCGTATTTTCATTTAGTTCTTTTGCTAAAGGAAAATTTGCTGCTTTTGTTCGTATTTTTATCTAGTTCCTCAAGGGCAATTTCAGTTCACGTTTGTGTTTAAAATACCTTTGTGGAGGTAACAGGAAAGATCACAGTTATGCCTAAGTGGTTGTAATCATTAACAGGATAACGCAAATAAATTTTCCAAAATCTCGAATACCGGCCAAGCAAGTGAAACCCATGCACTATTCATGTTGTTTCACTCTGTTATGAGGGCCCCCTATACCTCTTCACAATATGCTTTCACGTAAAAATATTTTGCCTTTTCACGAGTCACGGATTAAGAAAATCATCAATCACGTTTCACGGCTAAGTAAAATAAGCGCTTCACGCTTCACGCAAAAAGTATAGCCGAGGGGGCCTGATCACGTTTCACGGCTAAGTAAAACAAGCCCTTCACGCTTCACGCAAAAAGTATAGGGGGCCCTCTGTTATTTATGGATCTCGAGCTTATTAATTGTTTTGAGAAGTTGCATAACGAAAAAATCAACGAATTTTTCAAATCCTGCGAGTCAGTTAGTACGCAGTTGTTCAGAAGACCTCTTCCATGGCCAATTTTCTAGAGAATGCGAAGCTATTAGACTAGCTTCCTCCTGTCATGCATGCGATTAATCTTCAGCTGCATTTCAACTAATATAGATCGATGCGATAAAAACCTCCAATATGCAATGATTTCTTGTATACGCCTTTAATATAGACTAAATTGTGATTAAAATCTTGCGCAGAGACATAAAAAAAATCTTCATATGATTATGCCACAAGTTATAAAGAAAAAGTTCTAAAGCTAGCAAAGTATTTACCACGAAAATATCATTGAAGAGTGTGCATGTTCAGATCGAGACACTCCGCGCCTGGGCTATTTCCATTCAGCCGCCGACGTCAATGATAACAATAGTTCGATCTGAGACTATCATTCACTTGGTCAGTTCAAATTGGTGAATTCCTTATTAAAAATTGTGTAGGCTATAAGATTATGTCTTAGACATATATCATGATATGCGGTTCATATAGACCAGCAACTCCAAATCAGCTGTTCATTTTAATAGTTTAAAACTAAGAGCATCCCAATTTTGGATGAGTGGAACTGTAATTTTTGTTTTTTCGTGATCGACGCTATAGATCAGAACGTTTGTATATATAGGAATCGTGAGCTTCAAACTTTTTCAACAATGTATAGTAACAAAACTCCACTATACTAGTTCTAATCCGTTTGAGCAACACATCAAGGCCAATAATTTTGTAAATGTGACACAGATAAGCTGTTTATGCTTCAGATATTACATGATAATTAGCTTACATACATTCTTTTGCCGATAACATATCAAGTTATCAAAATGATTTTTGTATTTTCTTAGGATTGAGGTGTATGAAGAGGTAACAAAAAGTTGCAGTTATGCCTGAATTGTTGTAATAATTAATTGGGCAATGCGAATAGATTTTCCAAAATGTTGAATGCATGGCAAATGCACATGCACCATGCACTATTCGATCTGCTAGATATAATTACACAAATTAATCGAGATCGTGATATTTATGTGAATTTAGTTCCGAGGTTATTTTGCGCTTGTTTGGCTACTCATAATAAATATTGCAGAATTACTAGATCTTCTGGTCGTATTAATTAATTAAGCACTCAGTCACATTTAATTAAGGGGTGTATAACATATTAATGTATAGAACGTAACCGAAAAACAACGTACAACATTGCAATCCGCTATTTCTTATAAATTATCTATTGTGATTAAAATCTTAATTTAAGATGCCTAGGCGTTTTGGAGCCTGAGACAAAATGAGCTACTTCACGGGAAGCGTGCATGTATTCATCCCGCATGGGCAATTTTCTCATTTCGGCCGGATGCCGTATTTTTTTTTTCGATCTGAGACGATCATGCATCCACCTCTTGGCTTAAATTAAGTACATTTTAGAGATTGATAAAGCCGAATAAAAGT